TTAAAAAGCATAATATCAAGGTTTCTCTTCACAATGTCGTCATCCCAATTGTCTGGTGCGTCAGATTCTTAGGCGTAGTTCTTGATTATTCGTTGCGATGGAAAAAACATGTAGCAGAAATTAGGAAGCGCGTCCTTCCACGGATTAATATACTCAAAGCCATTGCGGGCATCAAGTGGGGGGTACACCCAAGTGTTCTCTCCACGGCCTACAAGGGCCTAGTTCGCTCCGTTTTGGACTGGGGCTGTCAAGTGGTGTCTCCTCTTTCTCAGCCTGAGTGCCTCGTGTTAGATAGACTACAGTATGCTTGTATTCGCATAATTTGTGGCCTTATGAGGTCCACTCCTACCAATGTACTGCTAGATTTAGTTAACGAACAGCCCCTGGCCTGTCGACGTAGGTTTTTGACCAGTAAGTATTTGTGTCGAGTGGCATCTCGTGCTGAACACCAACTGGGTTCAATGGTGCGAGAAAACATTCCTTCGTGGAGCCCTATATGTGAAGCCAACAGCTTTGATCTGTTCAACATCTTCAGTCACCTTTCGACTGCAATCCAGCAAGTGGAAGTGCTCACTCTACCTGGCTTACTGTCCTTTCCTTTTTTTGCCAGGTTCTACAAGTGTTGCGTTGATCTTAGTTCAGGCGCTAAGTTTCGTTCTGCACACTCACCTCAACTTGAACTGAGTAGATTCCTGAGTAATATGGGAGCCTCGCATATTTTCTACACTGATGGCTCCATGACTCCCTCAGTTGGGGGTCAACCCGCTCGAGTGGGCTTTGCAGTAGTCTCTGAGTACCCCGATCTTGTACATTTCACCAGACTAAATAATCATTCCACCATCTTTGATGCGGAGGCACAAGGCATTCTGTGTGCTCTTGAATACATAAGGGACTTCGCGTTTAGCCTGTCGGTCATTGCTTCTGACTCCATGAGTGTTCTGAGTTGTCTCATGTCCTCTGATCCTCGGGGCTCTCACCCGAGTGTTGTGTATAAAATAAAATCGCTCACTTCTGAACTTGCGTTGCAGGGAATCAATGTCAACTTCCTGTGGGTCCCCGCTCACAAGGGTATCAAGGGTAATGAGAGTGCAGATTACTATGCTAAGAAAGCGTTGAGTCTACCTGAACCTGACTCTTCCTTTAAATGTCCTTTCAGCTCTCTGTTTCCTGGTTTTAGGAAGGAAGCGATGGAAGAGTCGAGGGAGTTACTGCTCGGGGAAGCTCTGACCAAAGGGGGTAGGTACTTCTCTTGGAAGGATCAGATTCTTGATAAACCTTGGTATGAAAAATTTAAAAGACCACTCCCTAGGTGCCTGATCTCCTTTATCTCACGCGTTCGTACTTTTCATACGTGTGCTAGGGCGCACCTTGCGGATAAGTCAATCGTTGAAACAGCCAGTTGCGAATGTGGGTACATTCATCAAAACATAGATCATATTTTTTTCCATTGTCCTATTCATAAGGACGCTTCTGACTCACTTATACTTGACTTATTCCACAACGGCTTCAGCCCACCGTATAGTGTGGCTGAAGTTGCCTTTTCTAGTAACTTACAAGCTATGCATGCACTGTATGCTTTCGTTGTCAAGGAGCAGATATCCATCTAATCTTACGTTTCTCGCACAGACTGAAATCCCCCTCTACCCATTTCTCCTACAATCCCCCTAACTCAGTTCGACCGTCTGATTGGAGCTGTGCTCCGAACCTCTTGTACGGGGATTAAATCTCCCCACCCGCAGCATGCGTTAATACCTTAAAACCATCTGTGGAAACTACTCTATCGTACNACTCCGTGGTCACACGTGGAAACCACGGTTTTAAACCTAACTTCAATGAAGACTTAGAATGGCGTATGGACTAGCTGTAAGGGTCCACTGAGCCACAAGAGCACCAGTAACTATGCTTGTTAGATGAAGGGAGCTTTCCAGCTACGTACACAGGCGACACTGTGTAACACAATGGCCATTAGTGTGAAAAAGAGCATGTCAGTGTGTCTCACTCACACTAGTGGACACTGTGTTGCACAGTGTCGTCTGTGTACGTAGCTGAAAAGCTCCCGAAGATGCGAATTCCAGTGTATATAGAGTTCAGTGATTCTCGGACGTCTATCTTCGGCTGCTTTCCTTTTAAGAGACACAGTCGACACAAGTCGACACAAAAGTCATTCTGTCTTTGTTCAGTATTCAGTGAGAAACAAAGACAGAATGACTCTTGTGTCGACTTGTGTCGACTGTGTCTCCTAAAAGGAAAGCAGCTTTCATTGCTCTCGGCCACTCTCTCGACCTGCCGCGACCACCAATCAACTCACTGCTAGAAAAGAAGAGAATTACTCCACGACTATTTCTGTCTCTTTTAATGAAGCGTCAGCTCCTCTTACACGAATGTTCCGTCTATTATATAAGTCTATGGTTTGATCATGGCTGCGTTCCGAGTTACGCATTTGTCTATAGTACACGTTACATATAATATAGATAAACGCGCGCATATGCGTAACTTGGAACGCAGCCCATAGGCTTGTTCTACAATACAGTCGTAAACCCTAAGTCGTAAGAAATTGACCAATCACAGATAAATCACAGAAGAATAATCGATTGTGATTGTAGAACAGGCCTTTTACAGTACAGTCGTAAGCCTTAAGTCGTAAGAAATTGACCAATCACAGATAAATCACAGAAGAATAATCGATTGTGATTTGTCAATTTCTTACTGTTACGGTCTAAAACTTTCCATTGTAGACGATCCTTAACGTATGTATTGACAAGACGTTCGTTGACATGGCTACGTAGTTGCCAATGTGCACCGCCTATGAACATTGCGCTGGCTTAAAGAGCGGAAAAGTGATTACACATTCTCTCGTGAGCCTGGCCGCTCTCAGTTTTCTCTCTGCTGTTACAATGATTTCGGTATAAAAAAAACTGCAACTATGTGCGACGATTTAAAGAGCAACCCTTTTGCTGGATTATTCTCGACAAATAATGATGCTGTATCATTCTCGTCGCAGCATCCTGCCAATGCGAGTAACAAAAGCTGCAATACTGATCGCACCGAATTATCGTTGGACACAATTAAGGATAAGTGTGAGAACACAACGGAATCGGTAATTTCGAGTGACAAAGTCGATCAGCTTCTGGCACAGGTATTCGGCTTAACGTTGCGTCGAGATAACTTTGCTCAAAGATGTCTGGTGTTTATTGATGCTGATTCAATCGGAAACGCCGTCTTCGAGCGCTTGATGTTGTCAAATCCCAGATCTGTGTTAACAAATTATAATAATGATAAATGTGCAAAGGATATCGATAATCATATCGTTGAAACAGAGGTTATAACTTATCTTTACGAGTGTTACTGTCGTCTAAAGCGTTATCAGACAGACAGCTGTCTGGAAGATACTAAACGAAACGCTTGTCAAATTGTACTAAGAAATGTCGATACACTTTTAGAAGAACCTGATTTATTTCAAAATCAGAAGGTATGAACATTGATTCGTAATAATGTTCTTTTTCTTTCTTTTCTCTCTAAAAAAATATATTGCTTAGAATTATATTTGTGATGTATTGTTTATTCAGGTTTATGATCAGTTTGTTGCTTTATTTACTGATGACATTGTATCAAAGTCAGAATTACTTGCATTTGTTAGTGATATAGTGGAAGAAGTAACAAATGCAAATCCAGAAAGTGATATAGAGGACATAATCACCAAGTCATTCAGTCCTATTCTTGATATTGTTCATAAAAATGTAGTTCAAAGCAACCTCTTTACCTTTCGTCAACAGTGGTTTGATTTATTATATGTGTTTTCCACTATTGAACCATTAGGAAAGTTAATACTTCGTCATAGCACACCAAAAAATAATCAAGGCTGTGCATATTCGGATACATTATTGGGTGCATTCTTTAGCATAAGCTGTCTACCAAAAACAGCTAAGGATCCATATGATTTGTTTGATAAACCTTTATGGCAAGTACGGATGCTTTCTTTCAAATTTCTAAAGTCAAGTAATCTCTTGTATTATACAATTTGCTTTATATATTGTTGAAACATTATAGCAAAATACTGTAATGGAAGGTACCATATGGACAGCCATGAATAGCTTAAATGAAGCTCTGCATAGAATCTTTCACTCTTTACTTAAGTGCTCCACAGAAGTTCGTCATTTAACTCTTCAATGGCTGGGTAACTGTCTTCATATGAATGCAAATAGAGGAAAACTTTGGAACTCTCATATGGAAAGAGGATTATTGGGAGTGCTGTGTGTGTCAGATGGTTTTATGCTCAATATGGGTTATGTATTGTTGCGGCTTTGTCAACCATTTTGTGTTAAAGTGAATGAAACCAAAATACCAAAGATAGATCCTACATACTGCAGTGCTGAGGTTAGTTATTTAAAAACTTCGAAAACAATTAATGTTAAACATTATGTACATATATACACACGCGCATGTGTGTGAAGGAGAGAAGATATACTTTTGAATGATCGCTCCCGATCGTCCTGAAATTTCACATATAAGTTGTGTTTGATGTGAGAAATAAAGTGAGCGTGATTTCCACTTTGGGAAATAAAAAACTAATTTTGTATGTATAATTATATCAACTAAAATCGACTCTATATGATATATAACATATCCAATGTGGTATTTCTATTCAGTGTGAGGAGTCTAAAGCATCGGGCAATGGAAGTAGACATTGCTTTGCACAAACCATGTAAAGATGTATAATTATAGACTTATAGTTTTGCATCTGAGGCATCGCATGATAAAAGGTAGACCTTGTTTTGCGTGGAAATTTGTAAACCTCGTTTTCTATTAAGCAGTGTATGTGTAGAGGCAGTGTGTTCCGCATCCTCTTGCTCAGGCTCCACCACTAAAACTCTAGGTAGGTTTGGATTGAACCACGCTTTAAGTGAAAAGTAAACTCATGTAAAACAATTATAATTATCGACCTAGTTTTGAATCCAAAACACCAGACGATAGAGTAAATCTTGTTTTCCGCGGAAAGTGAATTTGCAACTCCACAAAGCAATATTTATTACTACTCCTATCGCTCGTTGCTTTAGAGATTTTTTACATTGAATAGAACTATATATTATTATATATGCGTATACGTCACATAGAGTTAATTTTAGGCGATATAGTTGTATCATAAACAATTAATTTTTTATTTCTCGAAGTGAAGATTACGCGCACTTTATTCCTGAATCAAATACAACTTATGTGTAAAATTTCAGACCGATCAAAAGCGGTCGTCATTTGGAAGTACATATATTGCTAATTTCGGGAAATAGATAATAAGTTTTTTGTTTTATGTACAGGGTATTTTACCCATCTGTACACTTTATTTAAAACCGAAGGAAATGGTTCTTTTGAAAAATGTTTTAGATAAAAGTTGTTGAGGAATTAGTAATGTATTACTTGGGCATATACGATTGACCTTGAGTGGCGTCGTGAAGGTCGGATTTGAATTTTTAAATTGGGAACTCATATATTTCATTGCATATTCTCTCGTAGTTTGCCTCGAGAGCTTTTCCAAACACTATAATAAAGTATTTTGTGGCACATGAACCATATTACACAGATAACTTTTTTGCACACAGAAGCATGTACTTATTTTTTATATATTATAACAATTATATTTCCTGAGTAAGAATAACAGTCATTTTTGTCGTTTACTAACAACTTGTTAACACAGAAAATTTTATAAATAGACCATTGTTTTCGAAACAATATTAATAAGACTTTTTTATATTATTTATGTTTGTGTTGTAAAACACGACTATAAGGGAGCGGCTACGGCCCCCTGCACCCTTCTCCCGAAAAACCTTAACTTAACCTGATTTTTATTTTGCTTGGGGGAAATACTTTATATATATCCCGACCCCTGGGGGGAAAAAAAGAAGTCGAGGTTATGTAGGACTCCTCCGAAGGATTTTTTTTTACCCACTAAAATCCCCAAGGTGTGCCTGCCCTGCAGTTAAGGGAGGGACCCGGTACCTGCGGGACCTGGTTGCGGACTCAGTCGAGACCCTCCCGCTCCTGATTACCATCCCGGTAGGGTTGCCATATCAAAATTTTCAAAACTAGAACTTATAAACTAAAAACCCCGGACATTTTGTTTGCAATCCCGGACGTATACAAAAATGCGTGTATATGTTATTATTAAAATTGATCAAAAGAAACAATTGCATATAAAATAGTTATTTCACATATAATCAAGAGGCACGGTAGTGCCTCGCGCCAAGTTCACGCGCAACGAAGTGGCGTTCGAACTGCGTGAGCACACTGTGTTTCTTATACGCGAAAACCAGGCATTTCAATGGAGGGGAGAATTTTAATCAGCCATTTTTTACTAACGACTGAATTTACTAACTGACCGATCGACTTCTTTTTAGTCTCGTTCGATTCACGTTGAAAAACTGAAAACAAAAGTATTCTAGCGTTTTTGTTGTTTCTGATTTTTCGAGATATACGACGATAAAGTTTCAAAGTGAAAAACTTTACGATTTTTACGATTTAGAAACGTCGGTTTGTACTTAAACAGTATATTAAATTCAGTTGCAGCTTAACCATCTCGTTTTTGAGTGATCTAAAAATTTAGAATATTCGATTTCAGATTGTTGGCAAAACTCTTTTAAAGCCTCTGTTCTTACAGTAAAAATTGAAAAATGATTGAAAATTTTTATAACAATTAATTTTGTATCAAAAGAAAAATTGTCACAACCTTTATGAACCGCGTTGTTGATGATATGAAATGGATATGAGCTGGACAGCCGACGCCAATTATTTGTTTCTGAAGCTTCTTTTTTAACTTAGTGAAAACATTATTTTGGCCTGTTCTGTTTTTACCACCAAACTTCGTATTGCAGTTATCGCCACAAAAAGCAATACATTTTGATGACAAAAAATGTTTGTCTAATTCTGTTAAAATCATATCGGTAATTGTATCAGAAGTTTCATCAGTTATTTTTAATATTTCTAAAAGTTTTGTTGTACTGGTATTACGAACATCGTAGTATTGAACAAGTATGGGCAGTAATTTTGTTGCCGTGATTACTGGTATCGCATGAAACGCTTATGAAAGACACTTCTTCAATTTCTTTTATCATTTTAGATGGTGACAGTACAGATAACACATTTTTTATGATTGCGATGGCTTTAGTTCTATTACAAGTAGTGTTCATAGATCAGAATCTTGAAATAATACCTTATTTAAGTTCATAGTGCAATCAAGAGATAAGAATGACATATGGTAAGAATGAAATATTATATGATATGCAATAGTTCCTTTAACTGTGCGAACTTTATCATTTTCGGGAACTTTTGAAAAAACATTATCTATTTTTGATTTGCCGGCTTGATTTTGATCCAATTTTTTGTTTATTTGTACTTAAATGTTCGATAACATCATGCGAACTTTTGTTTGCAATTGAAATAGTTGATGAGCATATAGTGCAAACTATTTCCCAACCAAAACGTCCACGTTTCATAAATAGATATTTTTTTTGTTATTCTTCGTTGAATTTACATTTTTTTGAATTTACATTTTCTTTTCGGCATCTTGTCAGTTCTAAAAGTCAAACCACAAGTCCACAGTGTAAAGATCAAATATTTTAATTATATTATGTACAAGATACGATACTAATACTATGTATTTAGATATTGTTTTTTACTCACATAAACAATATTTAAGCAAAACACGTCGCACTGCTATGAGAAATAAACAAAAGGCAACCACTGTGGCGAATCGGCGTTCACTTGACAACAATCGTGTTCAGCGGTAACATGTTGCAGCGGTAGAGGGGATGCGCACAACAGCAGCGGGTACTTGCTGCTGTTGTGCGCATCCCCTCCACCGCTACAACATGCTGGAACTGGCCTAACTGAATACAGTTTAATGCGGGAGTAATTAAAATAAAATATTTAGAAAATTCTCTAAAATTCCGAACGATCATAATTATCCCGGATAAATTTCACCTTCGGGAAATCCTCCCGGACGTCTCCGGACATCCTAAAAAAAAGGACAATGTCCGGGGAAAAGAGGACGAATGGCAACCCTAATCCCGGGGGGGAGAGAGAAAACAATACCTTTCCTCGTAACCACGACTTTGCGACGAAGTGAGCACACGCCACCTCGACGCCCTTCACGGGGCCGAGTGCAGGACAAGACGGAGCCGCCACTCCGGCTTGTCACAGCTCCCGACGGTGCCACCTACCCTACCCGTGAGATGGACGGTTCCACCATGCGGCCGCCGTCTACCTCACTCCTTCTGCTGGAGCAGTGTCCGATAAACAGTAGTCCCTGACTCCAGTATGACACCGCCCCAGCCCGTCCGAAACGTAACCTAACCTAATCTAACCTAACCTCTTTTTTTTTAACGTGGGGAAATTCTTTATGGATATCCTGACCTTGGGGGAGGTCAGAGTTATGTGGGACTCCCTCCGGATAGAGGAGGTATATTCACTAAAACCGCCACGGTGAGCCTACTCGGCGTGACTGGCGAGGAGGCCTCGGAACCTCAGGGTAGAACAATCCGACCCCCCTCCCACGCCTGATACATCTCGTGGGGAGGACATTTCCTTCCCCATATAACGACGTATGGCGACGAAGTGCGGCCCATCCACACTTTGCCGCTTCTACTGACTGGGCCTCGTGCAATGGCTGAACCAGGCCTCCATCTGATTCAGCCTTTGGCCCGGTGGACAAGTGCAAGGAGCCGTTGGGGGACCGCGGAGAGGATCCGGCTCCTCCGCGCCCGCGGCTCCAACTTAAACCCACCTCCCCTCGATCCGACACCAAGTGTTACGTCCGGAAGGAGAGAGCCCTCTCCGGAAAAGCGTGGGGTAGTGCCCTCATCCCCGGACTTAGTGTCAATCAGGTTGTGGCGGGGGAAGGTGTCGACGCGCGCGACCGGCAGCGTTGCCGGCCGCACCTGCCTCCTCCGCCTCATTCGACCAGGCTCCCTTTCCCTGGCTCTCTCCGCGGCCTACTTCCGCACCATGACGGTCTCGCAAAAGGAGACCGCGGCCGCGCGCACCTATTCCCCGGAGACGAGTTCTCTGAGGAGGGCTCCAAGAGATGGGGCTTTTCCCGTCTTGGCGACCGACTCACGGCGCTGGTCTGCCCACTCTGGACATTCCTCCAGAGTGTGTTGCGCCGTGTCGTTGGCCGCCCCACACTCGTGACATTGCGTCGTCGGCTCCTTTCCTATTCTGTGCAGGTATTCACCGAAGCACCTGTGTCCGGTGAGCACCTGCGTGACCCGATAGGTCAAGCAACCCGCGCAGTTGTCCAGCCACTGGTTGACAAACGGCCGAACAGCTGTTATGACCTTCTGGACGGCCACCCATGGCTCGTCCAAGTGTTGCACCCAACGTCGGCG